AATGATTTAATTAGGAAGAAGACATAGATTATGTAGGGACTTTTAGTCCAGCAGTTAAACTAACTACTGTGGGACTTATTTTAGCTATGATAGCTCATTTTGGATGGTCATTAAGGCAATTTGATATTAAAATGTCTCTTTACATGATGTATTGCAGGAAGAGGTATACATGTCTCAGTCACCCAGTTTCGTTGATCCACATCATTCGAACTATGTCTATAAGTTGAACAAGTCTTTATATGGTTTAAAAGCAAACTCTTAGAGCTTGGAATGAGAAATCAAAATTTTTTTGCCTTCTCCTGGTTTTGGTACTACTTATGCAGACTCTTCCTTGTTTGTCAAGCAAGTTGGTGTTGGGATATTGCTTCTCTATGGGATGATTAAACCATCAATAGCAGTGCGTCATATGATTAATAAAGTCATTTATGCTTTAACTAAGGAATTTGAGATAAAAATGTTTGGGTCAATCACATTACATTTTGGTGTTAGATTATTCAACAGTCAGATGACATATTAAATTCTGAGGCTAAGTATATCACTGATTTGCTTACAAAAATTGAGATGTTGGATTCTAAACCCTGTGCTACACCTTGGTTATCTTATAAAAGATTATTGTTGGATAATGACAAGCCCTATAATAATCCAGCCTCTTATAGGAGTATAGTTGGTGCTCTGCCGTACTTGACTTTTACGGCTAGATATAAATTTTGTAGTACATCATGTGTGTTAATTCATGCACAATCCTATGGAATCTCATTTTACTATAGTTAAAAAAAATTCTTAGATACTTAAAGGGTACTATTAATCTGGAAATTCACTATGAGAAGGGTGTTTTGGATGTAAGAGTTTTCTCTAATTCAGACTAGGCTAGAGTCCCAAATGGCAGAAGATTAACCATAGATATTGTGGTTTGTAGGTTCCAATCGTATCTCTTAGTCTTTTAAAAAGCAACAAATTGTTTGAAAGTCCTCTAAGAAGCTGAGTATAGAGCTTTGTCTGCTACTGCAGCAAAGCTTCATTGGATCAAGCAATTGTTATCCTTTGTGTATGTTCTTCTTTTTTATCAGCCTATTCTTTTATGTGTTAACATGTTTGTCATAACCCTTACTTGCAATCTTGTTTTGCATCGAAGGAATAAGCATATTGAGGTTGACATTCATTTTATAAGGAAAAAGAGTTGCTAAGACGACGTTGCACGTTCAATTTGTTTCCTCCAAATAGTAGTTTGCTAACATTTTGACCAAAGGCTTGTCTGCTCCTCTGTTCCAAACTCACGACAACAATCTTAGGCTTGGCTTCTCATCTCTTGCACTTGAGAGGGGATGTTAAGGATAATGATCCAATAGTTGTATAAGATACCATTTGTCAATAGATTAGTAAGTTTGTTGAAATAGGTAGTTATGAGGTTATTTAGTCAATAAGGTTTCATAACAAAAGTACATAGAAATCTTGTAACTGTTCATTACTATGAAGATCATCATTAAGCAATCATTCATTTCTATGTCTTAAGAATTCTCTCTCTAAACTTTCTATCTTTTCTCTACTAGTGTCACGTCTCGGACCAGGAGTCGGTGGAAAAATAACCCCATGCCCAGTGCACAAGTAAAAATAAAAATAAAATGAAAAACTAAACTTCTTTTATAAAAATAACTCGAAAATATTTACAAGGAGTACAAAAATAAATAAAAACTCTTAAATCTCTCATCTAACACAATCTTAGCTCGTATACCACATATCTTGCCAAATAACTTACATGTAAAATAAAAGGTGAGGGGTGGGCAACAATCACCGTTGCCTAGTGAATAGAACATGTAATATGCCAGTCAAGTGATACGTTTTAAACATAATAGAAAAAACAATAATATTATCAAAACTTTAGCCAAGTAGTGCAATATCACATCTTCCCTTTATATGTTCATTATATCCTTCATATATTGCAATTCACCACATGACTCCTAATGGTCATTTTGCCCTAACGTCACCATGTGCAGTTTACATTTATACCTTGGATTAATGCAACACCAAAGTTCTCATGCTCCATGAACATTTCTAAATAAACCACATATCACCACATATGATAACTCCAAAAGTATTTTCATGAAATCCAACATGCTTGACTTGAAAGAAAGATATTTAGAAATTTGGCTTCATCACTGACCACATTATTGCTAACTTATTGTGAGACTACGTTCATCCCCTCCTCCTTAGTGGAAGATAATATCATTTTTCAAAAAAAAAAAAAATAGTGGAAGGGAGAAATAACATTCCACCAACGGCTATATCATCCACTTCTTGATTTGGATCGTGCACTTCGAATGAGTATTTCATGAATTTTTGTGTTATATGAAGAAACTTGTATATTTATTATTGGGTGGTTTTGAATTCTAGCGAGATAATATCAAACTCCGCATGAATCTGCGTAAGATTTTCTCTTCGTGCTGCTAGTATCTATTTCTTCTCTATGACTCAATGTCGACATGTCATCTGTACTTTAGACCAAGCCAACAACATGCATGACATTTCACCTCTTTTGTGACTCAACATTGACATTTCACCTATACTAAAAATTAAAGTTGTAGATGATGTCATATATACGTATGAATCTTGGAAATAGAAAAGGACCACATGACTTTAGAGATTTTATAGTATGACCGGCACACGAAGTGGTACACCATATGTCACTACATAAATAATGGAACATGTGTGTTAAAAAATTAATAACTTAAAAAATAAAAACTTTCACTATTTACATATAAACACGTGGTGTACGGTGTACCACTCATGTTCCTATCGTAATGAAAAATTTATCCACATGACTTACCATTCAGTATGACAAGAATAAAATAATATTTAGAAAGCTAATTACCATTCAGTTTTTTTTTTTTTTGTTTAAACAATGATGTGATCTTGTTTTATATGACATAAGAGATTATTTAATTTAAAGGGTGGGAGAATGAGTTAAACTTTACAATGTGCTAGTTGTGGAGCCAAAAAATAAGCAAGAGGCGACACGTGGATTTTTGGGTAAAAAATGACAAAATTATCCTCGAGGCACACTGGAATTCCTACGCGCGAGCAATAGACAATTATCCCTCAATCAAGTCAAAAGTGCCCAAATAGGTATTTATTTACAACCTATTTGATCCATCCTTATCATATATTCTCCACAAGGTAACCCCCAAATCCTTCCTCTTTTATTATAATAATTAGTTAATTAATTAAATAATTATTCCATTAATTAGCTAATTAACCACAAATCAAGAACCTAACCCACAAAACCATCCAAGTGGCCGGTCCATCTCCTCCTAAGGTGGCCGGCCACACTCCTATATAAGCCCTCTCATTCTCTCTAAAATAAAAGTCCAATTCTCTTGCTAAATTCTCTAAATTCTTCAAACACTTTTCCTTCAAAATTCTAACTTTGCCATCGGTGGTTCTTCGGCCAAAGCTCCCCCATTCATCGTGGGCACGTGAAGGTCTTAGCCTTCACCTAAGGTGTTATTTGTTTTGTAGGTGCAATTTTGTCCAAGATCAAGGAGGAAGAAATTTGCATCTACAAATTGGTGCTTTCATTGAAAGTTGAGTCCCACACTCGTAGAAGACTCTCGCATCCATGATTTTCTATTTTCTTGTCCATATGTAGATTTTTCATACGTTCTTATTTTTAGAATTTTTTATTTGCAAAAATTCTTTGGTAAAACGTAAAAGAAAAGTACAATGACAAGAAATTTGGAAACTTCAACGAACGAAAATTCCAATGTTCAAGATATGAGACCACGGCGACCCACGAGGCCAAACGTGACAATAAGTGGAGCAGCTCCACCACCACAAGGCTCCACCATGGCAACCACCATGGTGGCCACCATGGTAACCACCCATGGTGAGGTCCATGGCGCCACCACCATGGCCCAAGCCGTGTCATCCAAACTTGTTGTGCCATCCAAAGCCCACTGCACAAAGGCCAAAGCCCAAGTCGTGTCACTTCAAGCCCAAGACAAACCGTTTCATGCCGCTCAAATCCAATGTGAGCCTAATGTGCTGTCAAACCAAGGCCAAGCCTCACACCCGCATGCACCACACGTCGAGCAGCCCATTCCCATGGCCCAGCCTGCTCCCGTGGTTTTCCAAGTAGCCCAAGTCGGCCCAAGATTATCTCAACCATCCGAACCTACCATCAAGCCGGGGGCATTTTCACCACATTTCTCCTCGGATTTGACATTTTCTAACTCAAATCTCGCGCCCGAAGTCTGCCACCTTTCCATTGCTCATGAAGGCACATTTCGTCCAAGCTCTTCCAATCCGAATGGTTAACAACACTTGTCCCGACAAGTCATAGAGTTGACGAGTGCCCTTGCACAACAGAAAAACTTGGTGAATCAGCTTTTGCAACACACCGAGATCCAACGTGCCCTAAACGAAATGTCCCGAAGTAGGACAATGGCATGCGAGGAACCTCTCCAGTAATGTCCTGGTAAGCAACCACTAGACCAACCACAAACCGAGCGTTCGGGCAGCAAACATTCCCGATTAGGTCCCCAACATAGCGTATACTCATGTCTAAGCATGCAGAGGAGAGTGCACTTTTGACTAGGCCCACAGATGAGCATACATTCACGGTTGGGGCCACACTCCGATAATTAGCATGGGCAACCTTCCAGGCGAAGCGTTTATTTGCAGCTTGGTCCGCATCATCCACATCACATCGGAGTAGGCAGCACGACGGACGGAGATAAGCAGTAACTCAATCCAGCTTAAGTTCAACTGGCAGCCTGCAAAAAATTCCCTCGCCTGCTAGGAATGAACTACATGCACCATTGTTACGGCATAGACAAGCCAAGAAAGTAGAAGAGCAACGTAGACCAGCAGGTTAAGACTGAGGGCAACCGAGAGCTCTGCTACCCCAACAAAGGTAAATTCAGGAAAAGGTAGAAAGGCTCATCAACGAGGGATTGCATAATTTCCAACGCAACGAAGAGGCCGATGAAGCACTATGACGGGATATGACCAACATGAGCAGGTCACCATTCATGGACGAGATCGAGCAGGCAGAGCCTCCATGCAAATTTAGCATGCCACACTTCATATCGTTTAAAGGAGATGGAGATCCAGAAAGGCACTTGAAGCACTACCAAAGCACGATAGTCCTTTATCGGAGCAACAATGCCCTTATGTGCAAAATTTTAGCAACCACTTTACAAGGCAAGGCGCAAGATTGGTTTCACACTTTGCCACCACGATCCATCTGGAGTTTTGATGATCTTTCCTTGGTTTTCACCAAAGAATACTCATTCTACCGCTTGATCAAGAAAAATTCTAACCACTTGTTCAACATGAAGAATAACCCAAATGAGTCGTTTTGCGACTACGTGAAGAGGTTCAAAGCAGAAAAGGCGAAGATTGTCAGATGCTACAACTCGATAACATGCACAGCCTTCCAAACAGAACTCCTAGCAGACCACCCAATGTTCGAAGAAATGATCATGAAAGAAGATCTAACTCTAGCAGACTCTATCACTCTTGCAGATAAGCATGCACTGGAGGATGAGGCTCGACGAGCAGACAAGGCGCCCGAGCAGCCTCAAAAAGCGTCGGCAGTGGCTCAAAAAAAGGAAGATGGGAAACAGTCCAGCAAAAGCAGGCAGGAAGCCAAACATAGGGACCGACCCATGACCAAAGAAGGCTTGATGACCAACAATTAGTCTAAGTTCTCAATTCCGATCCACCAAATCTTTCGCGACATCAAGAACGAACCATGGTTCAACCTGCTGAAACAATCAAAGAGGGATATTTCCTAGTTGGATCACACCAAATACTGCGCATTCAACTAAGGTCCCAGTCACACAACCGATAACTGCTTCACTTAGAAGAACTACCTAGAAAAACTCGTGAAAGAAGCCAATGTTAACAGATACTTGGACAAGCCAACTGCGCAGCCTCGAAAGAACGCAGACGATGACAAAGAGCCACCAATCAAAACGATTCGAATCAATGGCATCTTCACCGAGTTTGAGAACTTAGGGGCCACTAATAACTCCAAAAAGAGGAAGATCCAGCAGGCTCTACTAGTCTCACAGGTCCAAGTAGTCGACTCCCAACTTGGACCCATCATTGGCTTCACCGAGCAAGATGTAGAAGGCGTCAATTTCCCACACGACGACACATTAGTAGTATATTTCCAACTAGCCAATGTTATAGTTGATAGAATGATGGTTGACAATGGAAGTGTAATCAACCTACTCCAACTCTCAATCATTCAAGGATGGGCCTAGAAAGCATAATCATACGCCGAGCAGAAGTACTCACCAGATTCAACGGGCACACCTCAACTAATATTGGCCACATCACACTTGACATGAAAACAACACTAGTTGTCATAAAGTAGACGTTCACGATCGTAAGCAACCCATCTCCCTACAATGGGATTCTTGGGACACCTTGGTTAATCAAGCTAGATGTCATCATTTCCGTCAAGTATCAAAAGATCTAATTCTGCATCCCTAGAAGAGGAGTAAAAAAGATCAAGTCTGATCAGGCCGCATCTTGACGATGCATTGTGCAAGTATTGAAGGAGTTAAAGAAGAAAGCCTTTATCCCAGTAAAGGCTACCGAGGTCCAAATAAGCGAATAAGCTACCAAATAGCAATAGCAGATCGAAAAGATGGCACCCAAGTAGACGAGATAGGATGAAAACCCGAAGAGGACGCCGAAGACATCATTCTTGATCCCTAGTAGCAAAAAAAGATAGTTATAATCGGCTTACGTCTAAACCCAGTTGAGAAGGAAGAACTCACGGTTTTCCTTAGAGAAAATCGAGACGTATTTACATGGTCACCTTCCGACATGCCCGGCATCGATCCCGAGATAGCTTACCACAAGTTACACATCGACCCTGCTACCAAATCTGTGATCCAAAAGAGAAGACATTTCACACCTGAGTGATTAGCGATCATCAAGGCGGAAATTGGCAAGCTACTGGATGCCGGATTCATAGAAGAGGTAGCGCATTCAGCATGGTTTGCCAACATTGTGCTAGTCATGAAGAAAGAGAAGGGCAAATTGAGGGTTTGCATAGACTACACCGACCTCAACAAAGCATGCCCAAAAGATCCTTATCTGGTTTCTCGAATCAATCTTTTAGTAGATTCAACTTCCGGGAACTAACTGCTCAGCTTCTTGGACACGTACTCCGGCTACAACGACATAGCCATGTACGAGCCCAACAAGGAAAAAATCGCATTCGTAATCGAGCAAGACATCTGCTGCTACAAGGTCATGCCTTTTGGCCTCAAGAACGCATGAGCCACTTACCAAAGCTTAGTAAATATGATGTTTAAGAAGCAAATTAGGGTAACCATGAAGGTCTATGTCAACGACATCATGGTAAAAGGCAAGCAGCGGTCGGACCACATCCGTAACCTAGCGAAAACTTTCAACATCCTCATAAAGTACAAGATGAAGCTCAACTCCACCAAATGCACGTTTGAAGTATCTTCAGGCCGATTCCTAGGGTACTTGGTAACCAACGAGGAATTGAAGCACATCCTAAGAAAATTCGAGCGATCCTAGAGATGAAGTCTTCAACTACCTTGAAGGAGATTCAAAGCTTGACCGGAATAGCAATTGCCCTCAACCGCTTTCTTTCGCGGTCCATCGATCGATGCAAACCCTTTTTCAAGGCCATCAAAAGGGCATAACAAGACAAATGGGATGAAGAGTGCGAAAGAGCTTTCCAAGACCTAGAGAAGTGTCTCACATCACCTCCCTTACTATCTAAGCCGGACGCAGCGGAAGACTTATACATCTACTTAGTAGTTTCAGAAGTAGCAGTAAGCTCTGCCTTCATACGAGAAGAGTTGGGGGCCCAACTGCTAGTATTATACACTTCTAAAGCTCTTCTCGATGCCGAAACTAGATACTCAAAGATCAAAATATTAATTTTCACGCTAGTTGTTGCGACTCGAAAGCTCAGACCATACTTTCAAGTTCATACAGTCATCGTCATGACTCAATATCCTCTACGATCAATCCTACATAGTCCAGACGCTTCTCAACGAGTAATGAAATGGGCGCTGGAACTTGGCCAATACGATTTAGTTTTCCAACCCCACACAACGATAAAGGCCTAAGCCTTGGCAGATTTCATAGCGGAATAGCAAAGTAGCCCAACGACGCCCTAGAAGTAGTCGAGCACACCTTAGCCACGCTTACTTCACCCAATGGAGACTTCTGGCACTTGCATGTCGGCAGCACATCTAACTACTTGTCACCCTAGACGGTTCAATGCTCGAGCAGGCAATCACTCTAGGCTTCAAAGCATCCAATAATGAAGCAAAGTATGAGACCCCACAAGCAGGCCTTTAAATGGCAAAAGACTTAGTGGTGAAGAAGCTCGTAATTCATTCTGATTCCCAACTAATCACCAGCCAGACTACTGGGAAGTACACGGCAAAACATCCGAGGATGGCGCAATACTTAGAGAAGGTATGAAAGCAGCTTGAGGCATTTCAGAATTACACTTTTACTCAAGTTCCGCGGGCAGACAATGCCCACGCAGATGCGCTAGCCAGCTTAGGCTCCTCCCTCGACCACCAACTCAAACGCTCAATTCCGGTGTAGTATCTAGATAAGCCAAGCATAGAGGCGGAGCCGGTAGCTAAGGTGTCACAGGTTAGTATAACTCCTAACTGGCAAAGTTCTATTATAAACTACCTGGTCAACGGCATACTCCCCACGAAAATGTTGGAGTCTAGAAAGCACCAAATAAAGGCAGCATGCTATTACATGTGGAACAACATTCTCGTCTGAAGATCCCACATTGGACCACATCTCCACTACCTAACGTCTCCCGATGACTTAAAGGTTCTAAGCTCAATCCACGAAGGCATTTGTGGAAATCACTCAAGAGGCTGATCATTAGCACAGAAGGCTCTTAAAGCAGGCTACTATTGGCCTACCATGCACCAAGATGCTAATGAGTTAGTACAAAAGTGTGATCGCTGCCAATGCTACAAGCCGATACCAGCACTGCCTGCCAGCGAACTACACCCGCAAACGAATCTTTGGCCATTTATACAGTAGGCAATCAACCTAGTAGGGCCAATGCCGCCCACTACTAGGCACATAGGCATAATGATTGTGGCAACTGATTACTTCACTAAATGGGTAGAAGTAGAACCCATGAAGACCACGACTCAGACGGACATAGAGCGTTTCATATGAAGGAACATCATTTACCGATTTGGCATCCCTCAATCCATCGTCACCAACAACGGCCCGCAATTCGTGGGCAAATATTTGGCGAAGTTCTTCCAAAAGTATGGCATCAAGCAACACATATCCACCCCGAGATATCCTCAAGGCAATGGGCAAGCCGAAGTATCCAACAAGATGATCCTTGACTGCTTCAAGAAATCCCTCACTGACAAGAAGGGAAAATGGCCAGACGAACTCCCCGGATGTCTATGGGTGTATCGCACCACCAAAAGACAAGCAACTAGTGAGACTCCTTTCTCTTTGGCATTTAGTTCGGAAGCAATCATTCCTACCAACATTATCGTGACAATCATCATCACTCTACTGTCAAATATTGAGTAGAACAATAAGTAGATGACCACAAGTTTAGATCTGGCAGATAAGAAGCACAAGCAGACCATCACCCGCATCACAACCTACCAGCAGCAGCTCATTTCCAGTTACAATATAAGGGCCAAGATCCGGCAGTTCCAACCCAGAGATCTAGTCCTAAAAAAGCCTTCATCACTACCCGCAAAGAAGGCTCTAAAAAGATGGATCCCATCTAGGAAGGTCCGTACAAGATTAGCAAAGTAGGCGAAAAAGGTAATTACACTCTTGCCACCATGAACAACAAAGAGATCGAGAAGCAATGGAACTTCTACAACCTAAGGAAGTACCAAGTGTGACCTCCCACTCTATCAAGACCTGAAGACTCAAGTAGCTCAACGGGCACCACCTGGTAAGACGAAGACTCTCCAGTTGTTATGCAGTATTTTACAGCTAAGTTATTCGTTCCTTTCACTCGTTTATAAGGAATTCAGAAGTAATTTACAACTTGGCTCGACTGCATGTCTACAACAACTTATCTCTCCTGCCTTCAAAAGAAGATTGCGCCCTTCTTTTAAGAACTTACGACAGGAATTGCACCCCCGAATAACCAACCATGCTCTCCAGTGCGAGAGGGTAAACTAATTCCCTAACACCCACATGGGTCTACTCTTCAAAGTGGGAGGATAAACTCTACACTCTGAATATCCAGACGTGGATGAGCCGAGCTACCCTAATATAACTAGATGCATGATGGTTTGCGCCAGGATTCCTAGAAGTAGCCACAATGGTCTTTTTCACGGCTTAGCTAATTAAAGGATTTTAGGTCTCTTAGTTTAATTCGCCGGGAACCAGGCCCTAGAGATGGAGGGGGCACATTATGCAGTACGTCATATGGATGGCTACCCTGGAACCTAAAGTTACTACCGAGTGCACTAAGGTAGCCTACGGTATGGCTTGCCTTTTAAGCAATAAAGCCACGCTAGACTTATACAATTGTACATTCTTGTGAAAGGTTAAACAAGCTAGCGTGCATATATGAAGCCTTATCCACTGCCGACATGCTACGCAGTAGATAAGCTTCACCACTGCTGAGCTTGGAACAACCTACACCAAGTCCTAAAGTGTTGTGGTACTT